GGCACTTAACCACTGAGCCACATCCCCAGCCCTATTTTGTATTTTATTTAGAGACAGGGTCTCACTGAGTTGCTAAGCACCTTGCCATTGCTGAGGCTGGCTTTGAACTCTCAATTCTCCTATCTCAGCCTCCCAAGACCCTGGGATTACAGGCATGCATCACTGTGCCTGGTTTTGTGCAGAAATGTTTTGCTAAATAAAAATGAAGTAAATGGGGCTAAAGTATACAGCATAGTTCAGTAGTAGATCTTAGCTAGCATGTGCAGGGCCCTAGATTTAATTCCCAGAATTGCAAAAGAAAAAAATTTTTAAAGTAATATATGAATGTAAGATAGTTATGGTACTCTACATTTATTTCCCTTACTTATGGGGGTGGGGTGCGAATCCATCTGATGGCTTCTAGCCAAGTTTCTTTTGTTCCATCCCTTCTTCTTGTTTAGCTCTAGTCTATACCATTCTTATTGTTATCAAAATAGTTGCTTTTACCTCTTAAACCAGGATCCACCCTTCCCCTCTTTCAAAGCACAACTCAGAGCCACCTCCTGTGGAAAAACTTCCCAGTCTTGCAAAGGAAATGATAAACTTCCAGATAGGCCATTATACCACTCCCTCAGGTTCCCCTAGTCAGCATGTGTTTAAGTGTCTAGCCCAGCACACAGTAATGGGCATGTTTGTAGGAGCTTCAACAGAAAGTATTTCATTTACGTTATCATCTTAAAATGTTTTCAAAAATGTGATATGTTTTGGGGCTGAAGTTGTAGCTCAGCAGTAGAGCACTTCCTCACATGTGTGAAGCACTGGGTTCAATTCTCAGCACCACATATAAATAAGTAAATAAAATAAAGGTCCATCAACAACTAAAAACTATTAAAAAATTTTTTTTAAAGTGTGATGTTTCTAATTAAGAAATCAAGGATAGCCAGGCATGGTGGCACATACCTATAATCTCAGTGACCTGAGAGGCTGAGGCAGGAGGATAAAAAGTTCAAGGCCAATCTCAGCAATTTAGCAATATTCTAAACAACTTAACAAGACCCTGTCTCAAAAATAAAAAAGGGCTGGGGATGTGGCTCACTTGTTAAGCATTCTTAAATTCAATCCCCAGTACCAAAAAGAAAAGAAATTAAGAATATCTGGGTATGGTGATGCACTACTGTAATTCCAGCTAATGGGGAGACTTAATTAGGAGGATCCCAAATTCGAGGCCAGCTTTGGCAATTTGGTGAGACCCTGCCTCAAAATTTTAAAAAGGGCTGGGAGTGTAGCTGAGTGGAAGAGACAAAGTACCCCTAAGTTCAATCCTCAGTACTACAAAAGGGAAAAAGAAAGGAAAAAAAAATTAAGGGTAAACAACTTTTTCCACAACAGTACTAAATAGCAAGTAATAAAGAGCAAGGCAAGAGTCACAGATCTGGCTTTACTATCTACATTTACTTTCCTTTATTGGAAATGTGTGGTATCAGAAGTGTCTCAAATTTTTTATTTTATATTATTATATTATTTTTATTCTACAGGGATTGAACCTAGGAGTGTTTTCCCACTGAGCAGCATCCCTAGCACTCTTTTTTTCTTTTTCAAGTTGCTTACAATCTTGCTGAATTGCTTCATGACTGCACAGGTCCACTTTTGCATGTAACATTCATATCATACACATTATTGTTCATCTGAACATTTGTGGCCTTTCCAATGATTCTGGAAATTAATGGTGTCCTCCTCATATGTACACTACTAAAAAATACTATTGTTGGTTCAATTCCTTTATATAGTATAGACAGCAGTATGAGTCCATCATCTTTCTTATGAATCCTAAACACTGGCATCATACATGTGATCCTCCTACCTCAGCCTTCCCAGCTGCTGAGATTACAGGCATGTGCCACCATGCCCAGCTAATTTTTTTTTATCTTTTTCATATTTTGGAACACTTGCACATACATAATATCTTGGGAAAGCAACCCAAAACTAAACATGAAAATCTTTTAGACCTTAACACATAGCCTGAAATTAATTATTTTTTTCTGGTGCTGTGGATGAACCTAGGATCTGAGCACGCTAAGCACCTCCTCTACTACTGAGCTACACCTCCAGCTTCCCTGGAGGTAATTTTGTACAATATTTTTAGTTGGCCTGTATTTTGAGTGCAATACCTCATGAGTTTAGTATTGCATTTTCCACTTATAGCACTGTCAGTGCTCAAAAAGTTCTGATTGTGGATCATTTTGGATTTAAGGTTTTCAGTTTAGGGATGCTCAACCTGTACTTACCTCAGAAAGTTCTTGCAAGAGTTATATTAGGGAATGTGTTGTGGTAGCTCTTATAAAAATGACATCAACTCTTAGCTCCAACACAGCTTTCTCAAGAGTCTTTGACAGTGCATTCTAGATCACATTCCCATTATATATGCTGGCAAAAAAACACACAAACTTCCCTTCCCAGGACTTAGCTGTAACATTAGTCACATGTATGATTGTCTTCTCTCCTCTCTGAGGGACCAAAAGGTCTATCAGAATAGTGATGATATCTGCTCTTGCTCTCCATAGAATTTTCTGCACCTACTACAGCGCTTGTCACATAGAATTTCTTCAGTTTTGTTGGATAAATGCATGCGATCTTAAAATTTTCTCATTCACTCTAGACTTAGCCATTTAGTCTGGAGAAAATGCAGTGAGGCGGGAGAACTGTAGAATGAGGTAAATGGAGGTTACTCTGAGATAAAAGTTACTGTAAATTTCAAAATATTAGAGTCCGCTGTGGGAAGGTCATGGGAACAATGCAGAACCGTTCAGTCGGGGATATCACCACTTCCACTGAAGACACATGCTCAAGATGACAGCTCCTTTTCGCCCCAAAGACCCAGGCCCTATTTGCTCTTCAGTTCCGTACGATGACCCAAGATGGCGGAGCCCGTGATTGAAAACCAGATTCAAGATGGCGGCTTCCGGCTCCCCCCACTCAGCAACGCGCTCTGCCTCCGAGGCCACGCCCACTTCCGGCTCCTCCGCCACAGACATGGCTGCTTCGGGGACCCTGCTCTCCGGTGAGTTGGCGTAGGCTATGTAGACTCGGGACCCGGTGAGGTGTGCGCTGGACCCCTACGGCGGGCTCAGCGTCCTCTCTGACTCTGTCTTGTTTTCCTAGTAGGTGTCCGGAGGCTACACTGCAGCGTGTCGGCTCTGGCTGGCAGCCAGTGGAGACTCCAGTAAGTGCTGGGATGGGGGAATCTGGGGGGCTAGAAGCTGGTCCGAGACCTCACGCGACTGTTTCTTTTTGCCCAGACAGGGCCTGGCTGCCAATCCTTCCGGCTACGGGCCCCTCACGGAGCTCCCAGACTGGTCTTACGCAGGTGAGTGACAGTCCAACAGTTTTCTTCAGAGATATTTCACTTAGAGGGACCGCCCCTGGAGCGGGTTGGGGAGTGGTGTCCAGGCGGGGGCGTGACTGAGTGGAAAACTAATCGAACTTTTTATTTGGAAAATGGAGTTGGAGTAAAAAAGCTCTCCTTTATTTTGTCAGTTAAACTACTACTACTACGGAAGGTAAAGCTAGACAGGATCTTGGCTAGTGAAGATAAACAAGTTAATTCTAACTTAAACCGCCCTGGGGTTGAAGGGGTTGAGAAATCGTTCCCCTTTCTCAAAGGGAACATGATTTTTAAGTAGTTAGGAAGAACCACCCTTCTGTGTGGTGAATGCATTTTGAGAATTTGGTACCAAATGCAAGAAGAACTTTGAAAAGCTGTGGAAAGGAGTATCTCAGAGGGGTAGAAGGGTGATGATTGAGGATGGCGGGCTTCCTTCAGAAGAATCTTTTTACTTAAAAAGCTCCAAAATAGAGGAACTTTAGCCTAGCCAGGCCCAAAACACAACCTGTAATCCCATTGACTTGGGAGGCTGAAGCAGAAGGATTGCAAATTTCAGGCCAGACTCAGCAACTTAGAAAGTCTATCTCAAAAAAAAAAAAAAGACTAAGGAGGTAGCTCAGTGGTAGAATGCCCCTAGGTTCACTCACCAGTACCAGAAGAAAAGAATGGGACCTTCAGAGAAGTTAAAGCCACTCCTTAAACCTCTTTTATGGTACTTCACCTTTACAGTAGGAAAATTGAGGCCTACAGAAATGAAATGCCTATATAGTATCAAAGTCAGAAATACAACTGAGCAGGATCCAGGCCTTCTTCCCAACTTGGAGACCTGAGTATTAATACCCTTCTGGAGCTTTGTTTTGGTTTTTGTGGTGCTGGGGAGTGAATCCAGGGTTTTCTGCATGCAAGACAAACACTCCCAATGAGCTATATCTCTAGCCCCCCACCCCCACCCCATTGGATTCTTTAGTCTCTCTAGGAATATGACCCTGCTTATTCACATACTTATTCAGAGGAGGAGGATGAAATTTGTTTCCACTAGTCATTTACAGTAGGAAGCCTAGGCTCTTTGTAGTAATATGGAATATTTGAAAGACTGGAATTATATGTATCTAATTCTGTGTACACACACGAAAGCATGCTTACACAGGGGATTGATCCCAGGGCTAAGTGCACACTTTGTCACTATGCTACACCCTTTTTTTTTTAATATTTATTTTTTAGAAGTAGTTGGACACAATACCTTTATTTTGTTTATTTATTTTTATGTGGTACTGAGGATCAAACCCAGGGCCTCGCACGTGCTAGATGAGTGCTCTACCACTGAGCCACAATCCCAGCTCCACTATGCTACACCCTTAAGCTGTTTCTCAATCTAAGTTTCCCTCCTTTAAAAAAAAAAAAGAAAAAGTATATGTATACACATATACATACAGCTACACAGAGACACGCATTCATGTTTCTTGTAAAGGATAAAAATGAAACCCAGTGTAATTCACTTGACACACACATTGCACAATATTGGTTCCTTTTTGTGGAAGGGAGTGGGTTACTAGGGATTGAACCCACAGCCTTGCACATGCTAAGCAAGACTCTACCACTGAGTTATATTCCCAGCTACTTATTCCCTTTTTGTACTACAATTTATCTGTCTTAGCTTCAAACTTTGGGCAGAATTTTCACTTTTTTGTTTGTAGAAAGTAGGTATCCTTTCCTCTCATCTCTATTATAACTTCAGACTGAATATTTTTATGGAATCTTTATTAGTGCTTATGTGCTTATGTACTATGCTATGAAGGGCAAAAAATAATTTTATAGTCCCTGATTTCAAGCAACTTAAAGTCTGGCTGGGAAAATAAGCATGGACATTTTAAAAATTAAATAATACTTTAGTACTTTGTCTCTTTCCAAATGGATCTGAAATGGGTAAATAATGCTAAAAGCTATAATAGAGTAAATATTCCAAGGAAAATAAATGAATGACACGTACTTAAATGACATGTACTTCTTTCAGAAGAGACCCTGAAAGAAGGGTCATGAGACTGTTCCATCCCTTGTATTACACAGAAAGAGCTGATGAAGTTGATGGAGGTTAGAGAGGATTTGGGGTGGGAAGAAGTCTTAGAGGGATAAGGATAAGTACTTAGCTAGAAGGAAAGGGAAAGGGGGCATTTCATTGTAGAGTGGGACAGAATTTAACAAAGACGTTGAATGAAAGGTTTCTGAAGATAAAACAGTAGATGAAACATTGCAGACTACCTTGAATTCCAGGATAATTAGTGGTACATGAAATAAGAGTAGGAACATAGCTTAAGAATTTATTTTTGGTAGGTCTGTGGTACCTCACTGCTGCAGTCTGGCTGGGCACAAAATCACGAGCCACTCACAGCTTTGTAGATTCAAACACCAATTCTTTATTCCCGAACTCACACCGGCCCTCCACAAACACGTTCTGGGGAAATCCGCCAAATTCTCTACTCCACCAGGCTCTAATCAGCAGGATAGCCCTATTCCTGGCAGGGTACACCTTAAACCTGGAACCGCCCTAAACCCAAGGAGCGGGATACTCCCTAAAACCTGATCCGCCCTAAACCCGGATCCGCCCTGGTCCTTGAGCAAGGTCACCTTACTCAAGCATACTTGCAATGTCACTGCAAATCCAAGGCAAGTCCATTTCCACGAGTCCTTCCTCTAAGCAACATAGAGTACGCTGACAAGGAAATTTCGATGTGTCATTCCTACTTGGCAATGGCTCTCAGCACCTCACTCTGTTCGAAGAACTTATTTTAGAAGAATTAAGCTACGTTGGGTGTAAAACAGAAGAGAAGAGAGAGAGATTGGCTCTTTGTCATCCCTACCACAGTCTTTGGCCAAGATGCTACAGACCACCCCTAGCATTTGCCTTTTATCTCTTCTATTTGTAGATGGCCGCCCTGCTCCCCCAATGAAAGGCCAACTTCGAAGAAAAACCCAGAGGGAAGAGTTTGCAGTAAGTGAATAGAGCTTCAACCGGGGCTACATTGTTTGTAATTGGAGGGAGAAATTATTATTTTTTTAGTTCTTTTTGGATACAATACCTTTATTTTATTTAGTTTGGTGCTAAGGATTGAACCCAGTGCCTCACACATGCTAGGCAAGCACTCTACCACTGAGCTACAACCCCAGCCCAGAAATTTTTGGTACCAGCGATCAAACCCAGGGTGCTTAACCACTGAGCCACATCCCCAGCCCTTTTTTATATTTTATTTAGAGGCAGGGTCTGGCTGAGTTGCTAAATTCCTCAGCCTCCTGAATTGCTGGGATTACAGGTATGCACCATTGCGCCCAGCTCAGAAGTTTTTAATTGTAATATGTTTTGGGTTGTGTTGCACCTAAGCTAACATGTACATCATATACAAAAGTTTTGACAGTTATGTTTTTTGTTTTTGTTTTCGGAGATTGGGCATTGAACCCAGGGATGCTGTATTATTGAGTTCATTCCAGCCTTCTTATTATTTATTTTGAAACAGGGTCTCACTAAGTTGCTGAGGGCCTTACTAAATTGCTAAGGCTGGCCATAAAATTGTGATCCTCCTGCCTCAGCCTCCCAGGTAGCTAAGATTTATAGATGTGCACATCAGATCAGCTGAGCCAAACAATTTTTTGTTGTTGTTTTTAGCTTTAGGTGGATACAGTATCTTTATTTATTTATTTACTTTTATGTGGTACTGAGGATCAAACCCAGTGCCTTATGCATGCTAGGCAAGCACTCTACCACTGAGCCACAACCCCAGCCCAAGCCAAACATTTTAATAGCACTGTAAGAAGGGAGGAATTGAGTTCCTAGGTCAGGAACCAGTAGTAAGCATTCTGCGTCCCATTCACTACCTCCCTTCCGTTTCCCAACCCAGCATTTGGTGCCACTTGTTCCCTAGTCAGCAGGTTTCCAGTTGAAACCTCTAACTTTGTGAGAAAAGGATATAAGGTGTAGTGCTCAAGCCCCAGATGTTATCCACACTGTTTTCCTGTCTGTTTCAGAGACGAGTTGTACTGCTGTCACAGGAAATGGATGCTGGAATACAGGCATGGCAGCTCAGACAGCAGAAGTTGCAGGAAGAAGAAAGGAAACAGAAAAATGCTCTTAAACGCAAAGGGGCTTCATTGCAGAGCTCACTTCCATGTCCATAAAAAGCAATTCCTGTCCCTTTCCTCAGCCTCTCTCTGGCTTTCTTTTCCATCACCTGGATGTCTCATCTCAGACAGAAGAGAGCCTTTGTTTCCTATTTGTCTTCAGAGCAAAAGAGCTTGGACACCCAGAAGAACATGCTATAAGGTCACTGCCTGGGAGGCTTGGCTCAGTGCCCTTATCCCTCTTTTTATTCCAGTTCAACGGAATCTTGTTCTGGAAATTTGCAGGCCAGAGGACTGTACCAACCTTTTAGCAGTAGCTGTTCTGTGAATGTGAACAGAAGACAACAGTTTTCCTGGTTCTAACCAGGCATTTCAGTCTTTTAATAGCCCATACACAGCTTGGCCAAGTGCAGTTGGCATTTAATAAATGTTTTGATGAAAGACTTTCCACCTGAGGTCCCTTTCTTTGCAAGCAACTGGTGTCAGTTTTCCTAAGGTTCAGATGCATGGTACAGGAGGATTCCCCATCCCCACCCTCTGGGGAAGGGTGACAGGAAGAACCAAAAGTGGTCTTTTGTGTTCTGCAAAAGGAATTGAGTTCTGAGGTCTCCATGGTTCTGACTGAATTCTAGAGGCTGGCTGAAGAGGGGCCTGTACCTCTCAACCCCTATACAAGGACTCAACCTCCAGTCACTATGGGATAGATATCCAGTATCTCTCAGACTTCTCACACACTGCAAGCTGCCCAGGATCTGGGAATCCTTTCTTATTGATCATGACCCATCTATGGATTCTGGGGCCAAGGGGGTCTTTGTTCTCCTAGTATGGTGCACTGGGCTTCCCATCTTTCTGCCCAAATTGTTGCTGCATCCCTTGGATATTTGGAACTTCCTACCTGACCTAATTTCTGTCCCCCTACTCCGTTATTTCTTCCTTTGCTTTCTTTCCCTCCCTCCCTCCCCCTACTACCTCCTTCCTCACGCTGACCAGATGCAATTCTCAGATCTTAGATTTCGCTGATGGTCCAGTTTCTGTCTCCCACACTTTTCCTGCTTCTGTTGTACTGCATTGTGCTGCTTTTTCAGATCTAGTTCTCGGCCTCTTTTCCATCCCTTTCTCACCTTTGGCGTTAGCCTGTGCTCCCTCTTCCTTGCTCACTTCACATTTTGTTGAGTCCAGTCAATCCCTAAAGGATAGGTTATTTTTTTTTGGGGGGGGGGGTATTAGGGAATTCAACACTGAGGAGCTATATCCCCAGTGCCTTTTATTTTTTGAGACAGTCTCCCTAAATTGCTGAGGCTGGACTTGAACTTGGAATACTCCTGCCTCAAACTCTGGAGTTGCTGGAATTACAGGTGTGCACCACTGGTGCCCCACTCCTAAGAGATATTATTCTTTAAGGAATTCCCTCCTTTTCCAGGGTAGAGGGAGAACTAAACCCCAAAATCCAAACACCTTTTTTTTCCCCAACAGTTTCACCAAACTTGACTTGCTTTTCGCCAGATTCCCTGTTTTGCACCCCTTTCCTACTTAGCTCTAATTTAAGGAGCAGATTGTGAAAGACAATAATATAGGGAACCCATTAATTTTTTACAGGATGGACACCCTCTCCCAGCCTGTGCAGTTGTGGAGTTGTTGTTTGCATTGGGGGCAGGGGTCGGGTGGGGGAGACTGGGGACCAGAGGAGGCCGTTATCAGGTACAGCAAACAAACCTCTATTACTAAATGCTCCTTCTAACCTTTTTCACTGACATGGAAGATCACTCCCTGAGCTCTTAGTTGGCCCTAGCAACTCAGCCTCCCAGTATATCCCACTCGGAGGTGAGACAAATGCTGAATATCACAAAAAGCAAGCCACCGAAAATATGCTTAGGGGGAGAAAGTCTCCCACATCCCGTTCCCTGGGTACCCTACAACTCCCATGGATGTCATCTGTGGCCTCAACCCCTGCAGATGGCAGTCTGCACCACAGAAAGGCAACTTTGGGTTGGTTTCACCCCCTCCCGCCCTCCTCCAGCTCTTCACTGTAATTGGATTCAGGCTGAAACAACCACGTCCCCACCAGGAAAGGAGGGCATTGGGGCGGGGGCGGAGGAGAGGCTGCGAGAGAAGGGAGGGACCTAAGGAGAGAGCGGAGAGGGCTCCCGACCCAGTTCGCCTACTAAGCAGAAGAAAGATCAAAAAAACGGGGAAGAGGAGAAGAGCAAACAGGCACTTTCAAGAACAATCCCCTCTTCTCCAAGCCGAGAGAGCTCTGGGAATCCAAATTCAGTGCCTACCGAAGACAAAGGCGCCCGGAGGGAGCGGCGGTGCGACCCCAGGGCGTGGGCCCAGCCGCGGAGCCTGCACGGCCCGGCTGCCCCGACGTCTCGGACCATGTCTCCCGCCCCTCGACCCTCCTGCAGCCTCCTGCTCCCCTTGCTCACGCTCGGCACCGCGCTCGCCTCCCTCGGCTCGGCTCAAAGCAGCAGCTTCAGCCCCGAAGTAAGTGAGCTCCTTCTGTTCTTCCCGGAGTCGCGCCCGCCAGGGAGTCGAGTCCGGGGGTCTCCAAGGGGACAGCCCCCACTCGGAGAGGAGGGATCTCGGCAGCTCCGGCCTGCAGGATCCCTCCCCCCTGCTTTTTCCTTCCCCATATCCAAACTTCCAAGTCGATCCAACTTTTGCCTGCCTCCAACCAACCCCCCTTCGCCGCCACCGACTCTCTTTCCCATTCCTTCTTTTTCTTGGAAGAACTTTTCAGCGGAGCGAACCCCCCTCCCCAATTCCTCTGAGCTCTGCGCTCAGCTCAGTTGCGAGCCTGATAAACACTTGGACTCCGCTCAAACCCCGCGCTGTCCGGGTTCCTTGTCATGTGCGAATTTGTTGTTCAACTTTCCAGCGCTGTCGCGCTCGCGGGGAGGAGCGCTCTCCACCAATACATCTGCGGCCAGATGTGGTCGCGGGTGGGCGTCCGAGTGTCCCCCCTGCCCATCAGCCTCCCCAAGTGGACCCCTCTGTGTCCGCGCCCGAGTCCTGGCGTCGAGGTTAGCAGCGCTAGCTCTCTGGCCGCTTTTCGTACACACAAAGGTCCCTTGTGGGGGGTGCGGGGGTGGGGGGCTCAGCACAGCCACCATCCCCATCCCCGTCAGCGCCTTCAGGCCCTTTTTTATTGTTAATTGTGTTTCTGCATCAATTGCAAGGAGACTGGGGGCGTCACACAGGGAGGGGGGGAAAGGGTCTGGTCCAGGGCGCCCTCAGGCGTCTCGACTGACTCCAGCGCCCCCCACCCCCATCCTTACCCCTACCCTGCCAGTGGCCCACCGGGCCCTGGAGGAAGCCGCGTGGGAGTTGTCTGAGGAAGTTTTTCCTCTCTCTTTTATTTTGGGGTGAAGGTGGGAGATGGATTTAATCAGCTTCTTATTTTGGGTCATCCCAACCCACTCAGTCCGGCGAGGGCCTGGGTGCGGTCGGGAGGGGCCTGGAAGGGCCCAAGAAGGGGGATGGGATCTGGATTTGGTTTCCTACACCCGGGTCCCAGACCTTGTTCCACCCCCGAAGGAAACCTCTCCAGAAAGAAGAACACAGTCCCTCTGTCCCTGAAGTGATGTGAGGTGAATGGGGAAAGCACGGCCCTAGGAATGGGACTATAGTGCTTTCAGACGGAAAAAAGTAAAAATCTGCCTGGGATTGGAGGCGAAGTCTTATGGTCATGGACCCTTCATCTGAGCCTGAAAGGGAGAGCTAAAAGGAGCCTGGGCATCTGGGGGCTGCCCACTGCCAACTTCATAGCCCTGCCTTTTTTTCCCTCCCCTGCCCTGCTAGGCCCCCTAGGGGAGGGGCAGCAGCCCTGGCTCTGTTTTAAGTGGGTCATGAGGTGTCCCGGTGCCAGAACCACCATTTGCTTCTGGGCCATGGAAGGCTGGGAGGCTGAGGAAAGGAGGGGCAGTCCCAGAGATAGGGATCCCAGGCCTGTTACAGAGCCAGAGGTCCCTAACCCTCTCCAGAACTCCTACGTAGGAGATGTTCCCTTGACTTCCCCCCAGGGCAATACCTTGCTCCTCTCATTCATCAGAACAAAGTTGAGTTCTGTGAACCAACATTGTTGCTCCTTCAGGCCAGTCAGGAGGAAGAGCTGGGGTGGCCCAGGCCTCAGGCAGCTGGGTTCCTCCCACCAGGCCTCCAAAGCCCTGCACTAGCTCCAGGACAGCCCTCTCCTCCCCTTGGCCTGTCTGGCGCTCCGCCCTTCCCCCCATCCAGCCGCAGACACAAGAGTCCTCTCTTCTGTGGTTCCGACCTCATAGTCTCTGTGGTTCTTGCTTTGCTCAGATCCTGCCCCTGTGAGATGGAAGGAAGAAAATTGCCCAAGCCTGGGAGGAGGAAAGGGACAGGGCCTTGTGACTCTTTGAGTCAAGGGAAGTCCCTTTCTTGAATAAGCCTCCATTTTCCTTCATAGGGCTTGGGGTAGAAGCTGTGGGGTGTGAATAGTTAGACCTACCCACCTCTTTAAAAACAGTGGAGAGGGATTTATCCTAGAGTCTTGGGTGTGGATTCTCCCCACCTCTTCCTCTTTCCCATAAGAGCATCCCTCTCAGCTTGGCTGTCTGAGAAATGAGGGGACCTGCCTCATTCCTACTGACTTACAGCTCCAGGATTAGAACATCCCATTACAGGTGAGGCTAGGGGCAAAGGGAGTTTCCTGCATACTTGGGCACAGGCCACAGCAGGCCTCCTGAGGGCACTGGCTGTGGCATCAGCCAGCGCAATGGTTAGCCTGCACAGGTCAGGGCAAGCCTACAGCTCCCAGAGAACAGCTCCAGACTGTAGCACCCTGCCTGGCTCCCCTCTGGTATACCAGAGGTTAAACTTCATTCCTTCCTGTACTCCTGAGGAGGGGCTCTCTGAGCCACATGGTACTAGAGTTGTTCTGCCAGGCCTGTTGGCTGGGGAAAAGCTGGGTCGTTTCTGTCTCAGGCCCTACCTCCTGTCAGCCTTGGGGATCACTTCCTGGAACTATGTTGCAATATTTGCCCCTGTGGGCTTAGGTCCCCAGTCAGCTGCTCCTGAATCACCCCCAGTCCCCCTGCCAGAGCATTGATCCATCACTAGGGCCTGGGCCTAGAAGGGAAGGGTTATGTGGAGATACATCGGATGACCATGGATAGGGGATGCAGCACAAACAGCAGCCCTCACCCCTCTAAGTCCCCATCCTAGGCAACCTCCAGCCCTCTCTGGACTCCTTAAAAAGGCAAAGCTAGAGCAGGGACCAGAGCTGTCTGGGTCTTGTCTCCCATAAAAGAATCCAGGCATTTTCATATTCTATACATAACTTGGCTTGTTTTATTTTTCAGGCATTAGGAAAATACTTCATTGTTCTTACAATAAAGGCTGACTTTTTTTCTCAGTGGGGCTTTATAGTGTGTGTACCTTTCAATCCAACACCAAAAACCTAACTTTAATTCAAGGCAATTT